ACTCCAGATCAGACAGTCTGTCACCTCGAAGTAAATCGATGCCGCTATCCTCACACGAGGATAGGGCCGATTCCATAATCAAATCTAAAACAATGTTAAATAGAAAGGAAGAGAGAGGGCAACCCCGACGAACACCACTTTTCGTGGTGAACACGGGCGAAAAGTGCCGTAAGCTCGGATTCGACTTCGGCTATTAGTATAAAGGGATTGTCTAATGTGTTGACAAATACAGTCCACCGTCTTCAACATTGGTGCTTTTGTGAACAAGGATTCGATAGTATAGGCGAGCACTGTCTAATGCGGTACGTCTAGATTCCTGATACAACGAATGCGAAAGAATCCTTTATGTGATATATCGGCTAGCGATTTGNCAGACTGAATTGCTCATGTCTATCACTAGTCTAAGTGGTATATTTGGTCGATGAATTTTCAGCAATCCTAAGAGTCTCAGTAGTTGATATACACTCCGAATGAGTTTATCAAAGGTAGCTTTGGGGGTGTCATTTTCTGCCTTAAGTTGCTTCAGTTCCTCTGTAGGTTTCGTTACGGATTGCTGCATTCTATCCTTCTCTTCGGCATCGCAAATAAATTTGCTGTCATTGGAAAGAATAGCACTCAGCTTATCGTCATATTCATACCTGTCCACTACCGCCTACCTTACATCTTTATCTGATCTTTATGGGATAAAATTCCGGTTTTTGTTCAATGCCGTATTGTCATTTCTCTGAGGCCTCATCAATATCGCGTTTTATGGATTTTCATTAGAATTATTCAGTCTACTTAGCATTTTAAATATTAATTATCCGAGATAAACTTGAAGGAAGAGCACCACATTACTTGGCTGAAAGATTTATACAGATTGACTGAGTCACGTGATCCGATGTTATTCTCCAATTTGACCCCTCAAACCCGTACATACTCATCACCCACAACAAACACACTCACTCAACATAACACCGCTACCACCAACTACATAACATACCCAAGAACACCGAGCACACAAAATCCTGCGTCATCTATCGGTTGGCATCTGTTGATAACGAAACATTGTCCTGGGTGCAGAAAATGAAAGATCAGTTACAACATCACAGCCTTGACAGTGGTAAAAACGTGTGATCCTTCGACTCTGCGGTGTTCATTTGTTACTGATGTCCAGCGATATAAACTGCGGGTTTCTGTCATATTGTTCCAGCTGGGATGCAGTGAAGCCTGCCTTGACATAAGTCCAGCAGCCTCACCTTGTTTGGCTTTTTGTACGTGTTGTTTTGCTGTTGGTTTGTTTGAGTTTCTCATCGGTTACACTCAGCAAATGGTTGTTGCAATTTGATTTTTAATTTATCATATGTGTCGGCCACCCAGTTATTAGACCTTTTGATCCATACCTTGTCGATTTGCTTTCAGGATGCTGTACAAACCTGGCGCAATATGCTCGGACCCACCGATGTCGAGACCGCCCGATCCGAAGCGCCCGAGTCGCTCCGAGCCCGATTTGCCAGTGACGAGATTGGTATTGAAGAGGAAATCGATGGTGAAGTACATATAAAACCGATGAATCTACTACACGGTTCGTCCGATCCGGAAGAGGTGGAACGGGATATGAATTTCTTTTTCCCGGTCGAACGCACACTGGCCGCAATCAAACCGGATGCGTATGCTAATCGGGATGAGATTATCGAGCGAATCAAAGAGGCCGGGTTCCATGTGGCTGCACGAAAAGACACGCAATTGACACCGGAAATAGCCAAACAGTTGTATGCGGACATTGAAAGCAGACCGTTCTATGAGGACTTGATCAATCACATGACAAGGTGAGTGATCGGAATTGCTCGCCTCACTTGCCTCTGGTTACTATGGGACGTGTTTTGATCGGAGCGTTCGATAACTTGCCCTACAGTTAAGATAATATTATTGCATAAAAAAGATTACATTGATCAGCGATACAGAAATTCAAAGGCGGACCTGAGTATGAGATTATTGATGAATCGGCTTGTCCGGACAATGGCGACATGGATCGTGGTATTATCTTCCGGTTCAAATCCAAGCCTAAGGAAGCGGGACCATAAGAGGTTCTTCACTTCAAGTCTCGGGGTTTTGGTTACCGGTTTCCATCACTTAACAGCCGTTCTTCTTGATTATGGGGTCCACCCCGTTTACTGTTTATTACACACATGTGTGCAACAAAAGCTATGGTTAAACTTCAATGTGATTGAACCAGCGACACCTGTGGCACTACCATGACATCCGACTGTCCCTTAAGGGAAGGGTGTATATCACCGCGGTTCGTAGTGTTTTACTTCACGGTTGCGAGACTTGAACCCTCCTCGTGGAAGATGTTAATCGACCTTCTGTAGTCGTCCACGGATGTTTGCAAAGCATTGTTCGTGCCTGGTGGGAACATTGGATGAGCAATTTCGAGATTCGTCCTGTAGATAGTCGCTTTTTAACAGAAGTAATTACTCTACACCACCTCTACTGGTTTGGTCACTTTTTGCTTATGCCTGACCATCGACTATCTTTCCATGCTCTCTTTGCACGTACCGGGCAAGGATGGAAGAAGCGCCGTGGTGGTCAGATCATAACGTAGCGTAGAGGTATGAAGAAGCTGGCTTCAAGTTTGGCTTCGGTTGATGCAGCCCGCGTTGCATGCTGGAGTCTAGCGGATGAGGATTGTCGTTGGTTAGAGATGCTAAGAGATATGGCCCGGAATAGAAGTTAATGACGTGGTGCTGTACTATCTGGCTGCTGAAATCCCGTGCATCATAAAAAATCGATAAACCAACATACAAAATATAGCAAAATGTGTACGGTGGAACAAACAAAAAAATCATTATTCTCGTCACTCAACTTAACTGTCTAACTCTCGTTTAACAATATCGGATCCAAATTTGGAACGGATGTTATTGAAGTAATTGTGCGTCGTACTCATAGTATTAGATCCGTGGAGGAAAACGTTTGGATTAGCCATGACGATGAAAAAAACAAAAACAAGTTTATTTTTAGTGACGACGTTTCGACCTTCTTGGAAGGCCTTTATCAAGTCAATTAACAAACACACATAGTGCTTTCCTTACCCAAAGACCAATCAGAAAGCCCCGGTTTTTCTATATGGTTGTCTCACAGTTGACTCACATGTTCGCTTGTTAATTGACTTGATAAAGGCCTTCCAAGAAGGTCGAAACGTCGTCACTAAAAATAAACTTGTTTTTGGTTTTTTCATCGTCATGGCTAATCCAAACGTTTTCCTTCACGGGTCTAGTAACTCTCATTTACTCTGCTGCATATCCTAACTTCCTGTGTTCCGTAATTGTTGTTGCGTTGGCACCAAGCTTGTTCGAAAGCCGGTAATAAATATACATACATATATACCATTTAAAACTGTGCAACATTGAGGTGGTAATTCGAGTTAGCATTTACTTGATCATCTCATACACATACTTCAGATGAAGCTTTCATGTACAAGGTATCCAATATACCAATCAGAGCCATTGGTCAATACATTCTGTACATTTAATAGTTTCGAGGTAGGGTTTTAAAACTGTTGCGGGTAATCTTTTGCTACCCTAATAACGCAACTATAGCCCGGGGTTGTAGCGTTTATAATCCAAATTCGATATAACAAACCTCACTATCAGAAGTAAGTAAGCAAAACTTCCCTAACCATAAGTTTGATTGCAATTCAAAGACTCGTAAGTCTTGAAATTGTTTTGGATATAGTTCAGTGACCGCATCCTAAAGTAGATCCCAAAGCTGGTGTCATAGGGAAGTTCGGTTAATTTCAGTTTTTACAACCATTAACCATGCACTTTCGTGCGCAAGGAAGTGTGGTAGCTTGCCTGATTTTGTACAAACAGAAACACTTATTCGTAATCTCCTATTCTGACAGTTACATCTTTTCCCTATACTCAGTACAACACCCACCCACTCTTTTGTATTGTTATTGTTAATATTGTTATGGCATTAGCACCAAGAGTGTGCCCAAGCCGGTGTTCAATATACATATACATATATATATATATATTATCGATTATCAATGTCATTCGTTTCAACACATGTCATTAAAAGCGGGTTGTCTAACGCAGCACTGATAAGTGCGACTTATATCGTAACTGAACTGTTTTCGCTTGTACCACGTCATACTCACCATTCTCTCCCCGCCAGTGGTCGAACACTGTTCATGGTTCTCACACGACAAGACGCAGTAGCCGGATGGCGCAATTTGATGGGACCGACCGATCCGGACAAAGCGGCTGAAGAAAATCCAGACAGGTGAGTCCGCAATTCTCCCTATTTTCTTTCCCCAGTGACAAGAAGGAACGGGTTGCTTCTCTATAGAAACGGTAGGAGATTCAGTCTATCTGAATTCACGATCTAATGTAACTGACGAGTAAAGGTGACACAGTTCACTTGGTGATTTGGTCGTTCCCCACTGTCCGATGCACTGTTCACGCTGTTCATCAACACAGAGCAAACCAAATAGGCCTGAAAACAATTGACGTTCGAAATGTCTCGATTCTTGCCCGGGAATCAGCTTAACATAACATAGTGATAAAGATGAATGATTTTCTTTATCCGAATGGCCGAAGGGACAGTGCGGCTACATGGTTGGGCCTGAACTTGTAACCTTGTAGTGTTGAATGAATTTGGTGGGAACATTGAGAAAAAAGGCGCTGTTATCCAAACATAACACATTTTTTAAGTTTGTGGAAAAATCATGTGCTCTGAGCACGTAAGAGACTTTTAGACCGGCTCAGTTGTCCCTTACGGTATTTTTCAAAGACAATCACATTAATAATCGTCTTTGTGCCATAAATATACATACAACGATGGATTTCGACGAATTGGTAGATGAGGCAGTAAGGCGGGGTAGGTGGTGGGGTTCGAACTCACAAACTGCGGGTGACTAATGAATTACGATCACCGTACGAATAAACCGTGTTTGCTGTTCGTTGCCAGTACACGAACGAAATAAAATACGGGATAAAGTACAATAGTAACCACAAAAAACAACGGTTGTCATTTTCAGCCTTTCCTCAGTAACTTTCAAGGGCCTATTTGTCTGGTCGCGGGCATTCAAAGAGCGATCAATTCTAATTGATCGATGATCGTACGGAGGGTTCGGTCGGTGCTTTCCAACGTGAAATACAAAAGATTCAAAGATTCAAAGATTTATTATGGGAATAACATACAGGCTCATGCTTTTCTGGTCCCATAGGTTCGTGCGGTGGATTAGGAAACAGTGATACATACAAATCTTTTGTAAACTGTCACGTGATACGTGCTTTTTCCACTGCTTTACGCAGCTTCACTTATGTTGGAACGTAAGATGTGCTAGTGTTTCATCGAGCCTCAGTTTGAAAGACTGAATGCTTGAAGCACAGACGACGTAGGATGGTAGAGAGTTCCAGATCGAACACACTCTGACTGAGAATGAATGACGCCGACATTCCAAGGGGCATTTTGAGACCACTAGTTTAAATGGGTGTCCTCTAAGATGAACGTTGGGTGATAATTTCAGAAGCGGGCGACACGGATGGCTTGGGTTTTGTATTATTTGGTACAC